GTGGGGGGGGGGGGGGAGGGAGAGGAAGAGTGCTGTGGTTGGGGAAGAGAGAACCAGGACTCAGAGCTCTCTATGGTTCTGCTCCCTGTTTCAGTGAAAAGGGACCCACACCATGACTCAGAGTTTTAGCTACCTAGAGAGCACAGGAGCTGAAACTGGTGCTCCACTTTTAGCTAAAGCACTGAGCTCCTGCACCATCACCCCATGGGGCTGAAACATGGAACTCCATTATCATCAGTGTACTTATTCTTAATTTACATTGGTGTGAAATCAGAAACAGACCCCATGAATCCCTGGGCTCAGTTTCTGTGTTCAAGCAGGTGTCTTAGCCATGCTCTCTCACTCCTGGGGTAGTTGATGAAGTGTGCATAGGTTGTAATGTATACAGACAAAGGCACCTTCCAGATACGTAGAATCCTCATGTGATCAGATATACTGGATTGACAGGAAATACCTCTGAGAAAGAAAAATTAAGAGCAGTGGGCATTGGAATATTCCAGAATAAGAAACACAGTTAGTGAGAGGTACAAAATAACTGAAATCTCAGGTCGCTTGTTTGGCTCAGCATTCAATTAAAAGGATCTACATAATAGTTACATTACTATAAGTGGGTAATAATTATGACGCTTAGTACAGGAAGCAGGTGAATTATTAGCCACAACAGTATAGGAGTTCATGAGTTAAGTAAAGTGATGGTAAGATATTGTCAGTCAAAATATGAAAGCTGCCAGTTCTAGAGAGGGGCAAATGAATGTCTTGAAAGACTAAGATGAGGACTTTTCAACAAACCCCATGCATGTTAGATGTGTCTGATGATGATAAAAATAAAAAGGCAAATGAAAAACTGTACCTTTTAGGAGGAAAAATTTAAAAACCACTGGCCAATTGGATGAAATGATCAGATACATTTTAAGGGAGCCACTGATTGTGTCATATTTGGAAGAAAATATGTCAATCAATACATTGTTCAAGCTTGTTATCTTTGATTCAGTTACTAATTTGGCAGATAACAGGAAGCCAGTGGATATTGTATATTTGGATTTCAGTGTGTCCATCAGTTTATTATCACATTATAAACTTGTAAGTAAACTGGAAAAGTGCCAATTCATAAATTACTATTGCCAGGAAAACAAACTGGTTCTAAAATAGAGAAATCATCAAAGAGCCAATCCTCTGTCCCTTATTCTTGCTGAGCAGTACTTACAATTGTAATCCCATTAAAGTCAGGGGAACTATTTGCATAAGTACCACTCACCTTGATAAAGGGGTGCAGAATTTAGTCCCAAGATAAGACTCACAGTATGAAACAGTATGTAATCTTGATTAAAAACATAGAGAAAAGTGTAAATGTTCTTTAAAAGGACACATGCAAATATATGTCTGTGTCCCTCCAAATTCTATGTTTTATAAAAATCAAACCATTACTGAGAAAGATTAATGTAAGTTTACATGCAGTCTTTCTTTTGATTTTTCTATTGCAGGACCTTAATTATTATTTCTACAATGCCCAGAAACATTCCAGGAAACGCACAAAGCAGACAATTTTGGGAGGGTCAGGAACTCTCATAGTTTGTTGTACCCTTCAAATCTGAAATAAACAGAAAATGCCATTATTGTATGTATTCCTCCCCAAAATAAACAGTACAGTGTAACATGTGCTTCATTGGTAAATATTTCTTTTCCCTTTGTTTGTTTTTCAGAGTGGAAACAGGATTCTGTGTTCCATCATTCTGAACCATCACCAAGGTCCATCAATAATAAACTATGACGATGAGAATGGGAAGACATGTATGCATGTTGCTGCTGCTGGTGGTTATAGTGACATTATCAGTGAGCTGGCTAGAGTCCCAGAGTGCAATCTGCAGGCCCTTGATGTGGATGACAGGTACACATGGAAATGTACTGAAAGTGCTGGAAACCCCCTTCTCTAAGTCCCATTGTATTAACCTGAACCTAAGAATCTCTGTTTAATAATCATGTTTCTGAGAAGCAAGTGAGCTTAGCAGCTCTGGAAATCAGACCATGACATTTATACCAACTGCTGACTCATGGAAATGTTTTTTAACTCTATATTTCGGGAAGGAAAAGATGGAGGTTATCCGAAAGGCTTGTTACTATGTGATTCACTAAAATTAAGTATTCCTTCCAAAATACCAGAACAAGAACTTACAACTTTGGAGTGAAGCCTTGGCCCCAAGGAAGTCAATGATTAAAACTCCAACTGACTTTAGTGGGTGCATTCACCCTTAGTATGCTAAGATGTTAGAGACTGCTGAGAACATGCTGAGAACGTCAACTCCCATTCTCAAAGGAAGCACTGTTGTGTTGTTAACGCAGAAGATTCCTCTTCTCTATTGTTTAAGGTCCAGATCCTATATTCATTGAAGTCATTGGGAATTTTGGCATTGAGTTCAGTAAGAGTAGAATCCGAGGGCTGTCAGTAACAGCTCTCAGATTTTGTCCAATTATGAGTCTATCCTATTTCCCATGGAATAAATTATCAGAGTTCTAACTAGCTTCAGTGACAGTAGGATTGTTCTTTTAGGTAATTAAATATATACCCATTGAATCCTTTATGCAAAAGTCTTATAAAACTAAAGAGATTAAACCAACAGGGTTTTATAGATTTTACCCTAAACATCTTCAAAATATAAATAGGAAAAGATTTTTATATTAATTTCTCTTACATTTTCCTATAACAGATACCATATTGGAGACTGGACAGAACCTTATAAACCCTCATTAGCTTTCTTTTAAACTCTGTTCCTTGTTACTCTTATCTGAAATCAGTAGGGTTGCACCATATTCACACACTTCCTCTTTTATTCACCTATCTTCATTCACTGTCTTTCTTATCTGGCATATTCTGCACCTCAGTGGTCCCCAACGTGGTGCCTGCGGGCGCCATGGCGCCCGCCGGACCATTTTTGTGCACCCGCATGGCACATGGACACTGCCGGCTTCTGGGCATGCGGCGTATGGGCGTCCTTGCCCCTGGGCACGCGGCACAGGAGTGGCGCCGGCCCCAGGCATGCAGTGCATGGGCTGTTCCGGCTCCGGGCGCGTGGCGTATGGGTGGCCCCGCCCCTGGGTGCACGGTGCAGGACCGGCGCCGGCCCCGGGAGCGGCATATGGGTGGCGCTGGCAACGGGCACGTGGCGTATGGGTGGTTCCACCCCCGGGCACGTGCGCGGCCCAGCCCCCAGACGCCCGGGAGCCCCGAAAGGTTGGGGACCACTGCTGTACCTTGTAGCTTGTTTCAATTTCAAAAATATAACCAGTGTTTTTTTATGTAATGTTACAACTTTGAGGCCAAATATTAGTTTCTAGACTGTAGGCCAAAATAATACTTCCTCCACTGTGACTGCTGAAGTTCCTGGTTACAGAAAATCAAGTAGGTTCCCCTACACAAAAACAGATTAAGACAGCTTCATTTAGAAAAAAAAGATCTGCCTTATTTGGGTTTTCTGCTGGTACTTGTCCACTATGTAATTAGTATCAACGCAGCAGTAGAAATTACTGCAGTCTAATGGATAAAGTAGCAGTTACAGAGTAACTCCACTCCTGCTCTGTAGCTTGAGAGAGAATCCTTTCCCCTACACCAGGGGTCTGCAACTTAGGGCTCTTGAGTCAAATATGGCTCAGTATAGAACCAGATATGGCTTTTGTCATTCCCAAAATACATGCAACTCTTTAAATTAAAATTAAAACTCTTTAGGCAGTTCTTCTCCTAGTTCAGAATAACCAGTGCTAGCAACCATAGAGTGGTAATGTAGGTCTACCACAGCCATTATTACCACCGCATCATCAAGAGTACTAACTGATGCACTCTGTGTACATGCTAACTAACTTAATGGATCAATAATTGGTTCCATTTTTTCTCTAGGACACCTCTGCACTGGGCTGCAGCAGCAGGGAAAGCTGACTGTGTGCAGACGCTGCTGCAGCTGGGAATAGAAAGTAGCCCTCGGGACATCAATGAAAACACTCCTCTGACATATGCAATGTATTGTGGACACACAGCATGTATCAAGCTGCTTTCTCAGGAGAACAGGTAAAGGAACAAGAAATCAAAGAACCTCTTGCTTATAACAGCAGGTCTCTTGCTAGAACAGAATATCACTGGGGGGAGGGGAAATGACATTTCCTTCTCTCTGCGTGCTGCAGAAGAGTGCAAGAGCTGCGCAACTGCTGAAATGAATCTGCAATTGCTATACAATGCTTTGTTCAAATTCTTCACTCTAAATAGCAATGGTAAAGTCACTGAATGACTTATCATTGTGGCTAGGTGATATATGCCCAACAAATGTAAAGTTCAGAACAAATCAAGTATGAACTTAGTTGTAAATCAATTCACCAATGTCTTCTTCACAAGATACGCTTTATGGGACAATTTTTGCCCTCACTGGTCTGCCATCTGTTGAAATCTATGGAGGTTAGTTATGTGTTCATGTAACTACAACAGAATTTGCCCTACTAAATACAATAGTAGAGTTCAGTAAACAGCGAATAACTATTTACCTGGTATATTTGCTCTTCTCAATGCCCCCAATTTAGATGTTCTGTTCTCCTTTCCTGCTAGAAAAACTCACTTATGAAAACTGAAAGCTGTTCTGCTTTTTTCTCAGACTTTTGTCACATTGCTTTATCTTGCCCCTTTCTTTCCAGTCAACAGTCAGTATTATTTCCTGTATTACAAAGGGTAAGGCATACTTAAAATTATCTTTGATGCTGCTGCAGACTCTACTTCTGAGCAGCCACTAGAAGTTGATTATTTAGGCAATAGCCTCCTTTAAAATCTGCTGAAACAAGACCACTTCACAGATCTTCCCAAACTTGTGTCCTACAGAACCATTACAAGTGGCATTGATTTAATGGTGGCTTTGTTTATTTTTTCTTGTCAATGCTAAACCATTTGGTATTACAAAAGCTCGTGATACCATCTACATGTTTTGTTAGTCTTTAAGGTACTGCTAGACCAGGGGTGGGCAATACTTTTTGGCCAGGGGCCTCTTCAGAATTTTTTGAAGTGGTCCTGGGCAGGGCCTAATCCAGAAGGGGCTAGGCTAAAATGCTTCTGGGCTTCCCCACCCCTAGACCATAATTGGTCTGGGAGAGGGGGAGCCACTTTGCCCCCCCTTCCAACTAGGAACCCATGCCCCTGGCAGGTCAGGAAGACGCTTCACATACTCCCCCGCCTCCAGGACCTGTTTGGCCTGGGGGCAGGGGAAGTGCAGGAAGCCTCCTCCCACCCTGCAAGCAGCGCGTGGCACTTTGAAGTGCTGCACACTCCTCGCAGTGCTGGGATAGGGCGAAGGAAGATTCACACAGCTCCCCCATCCCCAGGCCCTCATTAATCTGGGGGCGGGAGGAGTGTGCAAAGCCTCCTCCCGTCCTACCTCCACCCTGTGAGGAGCCCACAGCACTTCAAAGTGCCACGCGCTGCTCGCGGGATGGGAGGAGACATCATGCGCTCCCCCACCCCCAGGTCCTGATTGGCCTGGGGGAGGGGAAGCTGTGTAAAGCTTCCCTCGCCCTGCTCCTGCCCTGCACTTTGAAGTGCTGTGCGCTCCTTGCGGGGGGGGGGGGGGGGGGGGCGGGGAGAAACTTCGCACTGTCCTTCTGCCCCTAAGCCAATCAGGGCTTGGGGGCAGAGGAGCATGTGACGTCTCCTTCCGCCCTGCAAGCAGCGCACGGCACTTCAGAGTTCTGCATGCTTCCCACAGGGCGGGAGGAAGATTTGCACGCTTTAATTTCTGTTTAACCTCCTCATTTTTGTGTACTTCATCTTTCTGAAATTAAATACCACAGTGTTGGGCTGCTGAGGTGATTTTCCCACCATCATGATGTTAAATGTTATTACATTACAGTCACTGCTTCCAAGTGGTCTAGTGATGCTTACCTCTTGGACCAGATCCTGTGCTCCACTTAGTACTCAATCAAGAATTGTCTCTCCCCTAACATGGCTACCCCTCTGAAGCTTTTCCCTCACGTGGTATTAGTGATCACTATGCAGTTGGAAATAGCAGATTGTAAATTTAACATAAAACAAAGGCCTTTTTGTCTTCAAGAGCCATGTGAATTTTTCTTGTTAAAATTTATTGTCCTGGCATAAAGTGCCCTTATACTTCAAAAATTTCCCACAAAATTGGCATCCCAGTTTCCCAATCTATTAGTGTCTCAAAGACTCCACATCAAATTTACTCCATTTCCAAATAAAATTAAGTTGTTTTTTAACTGCCTACCCTGCAAATTCAGCCTGAATTTAAGCTTGTTGTTTTTGGCTAATGCATCACCATCTAATGTTCTCTAAATACACACAAAAAGCAGATCAGTTGACTCAGAAGATACCATTCTTAGTTTCTTTCTTGATCATAAGTGTATTTTAAATTCCAGTTTTGGCAATCCCATTTAACCCATTTAAATTACCCCTGCAGTTTCATCTTGATATGGTACTCTTCATTTTGGGTACTTAGACAGGCAATATTTCCTTTAAGATTCAGTACATTTGTACAAAAACTCGGAAGGGTGTTCACTTTCTGTTCACTTATTTATCTGTTTCTAGTAAATCTGAGCCAGTCCATCACCCTCCTTCACAGAACAATAAATTCCTAAAAAAGGAAGGAAGATTCAGTGTGCTTAACCAAATCTTCTCCTGCAAAAAGAAGAAAGATGATCAGAAAACAAACCAGAAAGACAGAGGCAGAGACAAATATCAAAGGGAAGAAACCTCAGAAGTTGATGACATTATCACTACATTTGATTGCATTATGGACACAAACTGTCAAGACTACTCTGAGGAATATATGACTACTGTTGACTTTAAAAGAAGGAGCACAGATACCCAGAAGTACCTCACATCAGAAAAGAAGCAGTCAGAGTGTAATGGACTTCCACCAATAAGAACACAAAGTCTCCCTCCCATTACTACAGGCAGTTCTTTTCTAACAACTTCCCTGAGTGCAGCTTCAAGTGTTTCCTTGAGTACTAGTGCCTACCATTTTGCACACAGGTCTCAGAAAAGTAGAAGTGAACATGACTTGTTAGATCACAGAAGTAGCTGCCAGATTTTATCAGACAATCCTTGGAACACAGACGCTAACCAAATACTCTCATATAAAGTCTGTACTGCAACTTCTTCAGATAAATTGATAGATGGTTTACTCTCTGAAAGATCCAGCCATGTGCTTTTGTGCCCTCCCCACCTTCCCTATCTGCCTAGCTCTCCATCAGGTAATTTCTTTGTTCAATATCCCTTGAAACATCTAATGTCTACAGACATGGCAGGTTGGATAGGGCATGTTGGAAATGTAGGTAAGTCTGAGTCTAATTTGTTTAGTTTGTTCTTCCTGTCTGCAGTAGAAATCCCAACATCTTAAGAGGTGTTCAGTTAATATATTGTCTTTTCAGCACTTCAGTTTAGATGTCACGTTGTCAAGTTTATGTTGTCTTCAGTGTTGAATTAAAGTTGCTAAATGTATGAAGAGTGAGTAAATGTTTTTAGCTAGTGTTTTGTAAGCTGTCCTGCAATGATGATGAAGCTAAAGAAGAGCCTGAGCTATAAGGTTCTGAAGTGAATTTGGAGCTGATGTTCGGGATCCATTGTTTTGATTCATGTCTATTGCTGCATGAATCTGTCTGTTAGGCCCTGATTCGGGAAATAACTTAAGAAGCATCTGAGCAATTTTAACTTCCCTTTCAATTGTACTTCCCACATATTTCAAGCTCATTGTGTGCATAAGTTCCTTTTGCAAAGTGGGATCTTACAGCATCCCAACCACCATAATATCTAGATGCTAATTGAAAATTAAACTAGAAAAACAATTATTTGTGCACTGATTCCAAGAATAAATGTAAATTAATTAATGTATCTACTATCACTGCTGTTGAGGAACCACTTCAGAGCCCGCTGTGCTTCAGTTCAAGGAAGACTGGAAAGGGCTTTTTTTCTGATGCTAACCCTGAACTGGTCAGAGGTATCACTATTGAGCCATGACTACCTCTACACAGCAGTGAAGACTGAATAAGCTACTAAGCTACTAACTTACTGCAGAGTAGCTGAACTTTCATTATGTTTGTCATAGTGATTCTGTAGAGATGATTTCAGATTAATGCCTGGGGTCCAAATAAGGGCTGGAAATTATTTGTAGAGTGAATTAGAGCCAGGTCCCTAAAAGTTTGACTGATCTGAGCTGATTAAGTTCTCTCTGCCTAGATGTTTTTTCCCCCTTCTTGGTCACCCTTCCCACCACATGAACCCAAACCTCCAGGTGAACTAGCACTAGTTAGCCTGATGCAATCACTTCTAAACTGAATTCATGAGGATTCACTTCACACAACCCATATGAAAAAAATCCTGTTTTGTTTTGTTTTATTTTGTTTTGTTTCAGCTTACGCAAAAATAACTACCAAGGAGTCTGAGGATAGATTAGGGTCATGCAAGAGGTTTTCACTAGGAGTAAATGGATAAAACTGAATAAAGAGAAATGGAAGTTGATTATTTGGAAACATTCCCCAAGGGAATTGTCTATTTCACTGTGGAGTAATTTCTCTTGGGGAGGTGAAGAAAGCCTATCACTTGAGTAATTTAAATCTACATTGTAGTCTTTTCTTAAGACTGCACACAATATGGTAAGGCTCAATCCTACTATGCTAGAGGGAGAGAAGAATGGATGGAAAGACAGAATCACTTAATTACTTCCTTTCCAAGAGTTTTCTATGATTTCAAGCCCCAATCCTCCTAATGAATTTGCACAAATGGACCGTTGTACCCACACAGAGACCCCATTGACTTTTGTGGGACCCAGAGTAGATGTAAGGGTCTATATATGGATCTGCTCTCAGGATCATGACTCAAGTTTGGAACCTATCGGAAACAGTTAATTTATTTTGGTGGGGACTCTCTTTGTGTATCAAAAGGAAGAATTTATTCCCTTGTTTCAAACAGTTTGCAATTTACCTTAGAGGAATGAAAATTTTACAGTTAGAAATAAACTTACTACATAAAAAAGCTAGAGTGCTGTGGGAGTTTGAACTCTATGTATAGGCTCAGCTGCTCTTTAATGAGGAAAACTTCCCAATAATAAAAAGATTCCTGTAAGTTAGAATAAAGGACATGTATTGAAATGAATAAAACAAGGGCAGAGAAGCAGGAAGCTCACTGTTTAATGGAAATATGTTGCATAGTCCAGGTCTTGTTTTAAAATTACATGATAGAAAAGAGCTCTGTCTCTCCATTCACATGTATGTGTGTTTTTTCAAAATCTGTGTCCTGCTGCAACTAGAACCACATGTGTCCCTGTTATTGAAATTCCATTTACTTTTTTAATTCAAAACCTCTTGGCTCTTCCTTTTTATCCTCTGTTGCTTTCACAGCATTGCCCAGCCTTCAGGATTGTAGAAGTTTGGAAGTAAATTAGTGTTTCCTGCCAGACAGCTGGGGTTGATGTAGGAGAGGCCCATTTTCTTCATTTTTGCACAGGAGTGGGGATTCGAGAGAGCGTACCACATTTGGCTTTTTATAGTGATTAAATGTTAATTTTTTTCCCAATATTAATGATACTTGCTGCAAGTAACTTCCTAGCCACTGAAAATATAGAAAAGAATTATCATTATCAGTCATTTTGGGGGTTTTAGCAACTGAAGTTAATTTGCAAGTCTTTATTTGACCATTGAAATTCAGCATTTAAGCCCTTAGATGGAGTTGTCTTTGCTAAAATTTAGAGCTATATTTTATGCTAATGCTGTTGAGGCATCTGGCATGAAACTCAGGATTTGGGGTGGTTTTTTGTACTCTTGGAAATGAAAGTTCAGCTGATTTCTCGACTAATACCCAACATTTATTGAAAGGGCAGAGTCTGGTGTTGGTGGCATTGGGCACTTGAAGACATGCCATCATCCCATTGACACAAAATTGAGTAAAACCACTTCATCTTGAATTGTGTCAATGTATGACCTTAGCAGAACAAGATCAATTTCTCAAAAAGCTTTGGCTGTATTTCAACAGAAACTTCTGTCACCTGCAGCTTTGAGTTGGCATCAGCCATACAGAACATTTTGCTCAAATGAACCTTGCCAGCACATCCTTTTGTAAAATACACACAACCCTTCCTCCACTCTGTGGAATGAAAAGCAGTTAAGTTACAGAAATTCCAATTACTATGGGAAAGGGACCACCGATATGGGGTGGAAAGGCAGATACAGAAGATGTTTCCCACTCGCACCATATAATCACCTGCAGCCCTTCTTAATTGGTCATTCATTTTCATGTATCTTCATAGATGTGGCTTCTTGACCAAAAAAAAAAAAAAAGAATGTAGTTGCTTCAACTGCTGCAAGTGCTTCAGAAGCTACATAACTTGCTCACAGAAATAGCTGCATTCACTTCAGTGGAACTACATAGGAGCACAAGTTACACATGTGCATAAGGTTACAGTGTCAGGAGGCAAATTTCGGTGTTTATTAAACTTTTCTAATAGTGGCATAAAGTCTGTCACCTCAGAGCAAACATTTTCAGTTAACACTGCAGCAATCTGGATTTTGGATTCGGATTAATTAAGATATTGGGAACATTTTATATATTGGTCAACATTTTCCACATATGAAAAAGATTTTGTATAGGGCTGGCCAGAAAACAAGAATTCCGTTTTGTGAAAACTATTGAGGTTTTGAAATGTTGAAAGACCTTTTGAAGTTCTGGATATGGACATGTGCTTAAGTCTAGGTATCCCACATCCCTATCAAGGGCTCTGACCAGCAGGCTACACAGTTAGTCTCTCATTGACCCTCTGAATATTTAATTATTTATACAAAGTGGAACAGCTGAACCAGAGGAGATTGTAAGAGCGAGTTCTAAAAGACTGACTCTGTAGCTGGATGAATATAGTACTTGGTTAGGATATGGGAGAGCTGAGTTTTAAGTCCCTACTCCAAATCAGGCAGAGCAAGGACTTGATCTTTGAACTCAGAAGACAACATTGATATCCTATTGGCCCTGAGAAATGTTCCCACCAAAACTTTTTAATCAAAATAGATGCACTTCCTAAAAAGTTTAGGTTTGAATTCTGAAAAGGGTAGAATGTTTCTCCTGCCTCAAAGCTGTTTTGGGACCATATATTGAGTAGCTTAGGGCAAAGAATGGGAATCAGTTTGGAGTCAACACAGACCTTTTATTTGGACTGGGTGTTTTAAGTGACTTCAGTTGGTTGTAGTGTCTCCTCCCTTATGCGGATGATGTTGCCTTTACATCATTATCACAAGCTTTGGCACTCTATGATGAGGAAATATAAAAATAATCTGATCTTGATCTTAACATGTTAGTCTGGAAAACTGCCAGTGGGTCAGACAAACTTGAAATGGGAGTTTTTTCCTGGCTTTAAATAAGTGTATCAGACAATTCCTCACTACAGTTAATTCAGTTACAGGAAAAACCATCAGCTGCTATGCTCCTTGAAAGGATATAATTTCCTAGTGATTAGTTTCATGTTGTACTCTAGTAAACTCCTTAAAATCAAAACAAGTCTTGAAATTTATTATCGTACTCAAGGACATAATTTATTGCTCTTTGATGAATTCAGTGCTTGTGAAAAATACTAGGTTAGTCACTCTAATCTCAGCTCATTTTGCCATTGCTGATGTTCTGCCTCACCTTTCTGCCCTGGAAGGATGACCTCTAGTGATGAGAATAATTTTGTTTCCTTAGTTTTTTTTATTGAGATTGCAACCCAAAGTGCTTGCTGTGATGTTTATGTTAATGATTTGGATCATGGTCCCCTAGAAACTGGCTGGAGTTAATCAGCTTTCCTCTACTTTCCCCTTCCTCCCCCCACCCCCCTCAGATTTTGGATTTGTTGATCTTCAGGGCATGGCGTTCTGTTCTACATAAATAGAAAATCAAGAGGTTTTTAGCAAAGTGCTTCTAATAAGCCTTTGGAGAGCTGTTCAGTAGCCTAACATCCTGGAGTTATTTCTTATAAGGTGTTGAAACTGAACCACCAGTCTAGATGTAGAAGGCCACCTATCCATTTCAGTTTTTCCATCTTTCTTCTACCGCAGCCATGCACGTGCAATCTAATGTTTGCTCTTTCTGTAAATTCATTCTTCAGTGGATCCTTCAATACTTTTTTTTAAACAAGTGTTATCCTTCAAATGACTTGAGCGTGTGTGTGTGTCCCTGTCCCTCCGCTCAAGGTGTCTTAGCAGGTTTTATGGCCCCCTTGGGGTCCTGTATTTTACTTTTTAATACATATTTATATTGTGTTTTAAAATTTTTGTAAGATGCTTTGAATATTTTAAATAGAGAGGTGGAGTACAAATATTTTAAATAAATAAATTAAGTAAATAAATGAATTGCTAAATCATCAGGCTCAAGACCATACCTTGTTACGTGTTTGTACAAAACCCAGTACATCTTGGACACTATGGTTGGTAAAAAATGGGCTAATAATAAAAGGGGGCATGTTTTGGCAGAGAGGAACTATTGGACAGTCAGGCTACCGTAGATATCCCAAAATAGCTATTCCATGTCTTTTGAGTGCGCCCATTATTTCAAAATATAACGGGCTTGCTATTCCGACATCCCTGTAAACCTCATTCCACGAGGAATAAGGGATGTTTCAGAATAGCAATTTATTTTGAAATAAGTGCTGGGTAGACAGTGCCAAGCTTTCAAAATTAACTCAAAATAAGCTACACAATTTGCATAGCTCAAATTGTGCTGCTTATTTCGAGCTCCAGGTGTAGTGCAGCTGTACCCTAGCTGATTTTGTGACCTGTTTCAAAGCTAAGGGGCACCCTCTGCATCAGAAGTTATTTTTGGGCCACATGAAACCCCATTAGAGGGATCATATGTCCATTTGCTTCATTTTGCAATCAAGACAAACTGTGTACTTTGAATCCAGAAAAAATATAGGGAAGAGGAGAAATATTCTCTATATGTTTATGTACATGGCATACATCCACTGCATTTCAGATCTCCTAACCAACAACAAGGATTGCATCCCAATCATTCCTATCAAGAACACAATTATGCTCCATGGCCATTATGTCACCACTCTTCCCCATTTATTAATAAGTCCTTTTCTTAGAAGAAGTGACAACATTCCACAGTCAAACTCATACACATGCATACAAATTAAGCAAAACCAACCTATTCCAATTTAAAGCACTGCAATACAGCAAACACAACTTGAATGTAGCAATGGAAGCAGGTGGACATTTTCTTCTGCCTTGAAGCTTATGTAATCATGTATCCTAACACAAAGTGGATGTAAGACAGTCACAGCATTTTGTGACCATTTGGCACAAATATTGTGATGGGTAAGAGGAGTGCTGGCCAGCAGCCGTTTAGAAAGGGGTTAAACTCAGGTAGCTAACAAGGATGTTGACAGGGGGCCAGAAGAACCAATGCGGATACTACAGTGCTGAAATTTGAATTGAATTTATATACTTTGCCTGTTCTCTTTGAAAGAGAATTCTAAGCTAAGGGCTGGAGGGAACAGATGCAGTAATCAGAATTACCGTGCCTGTGAGAAGTATTGGACATGGGAGTGAACTGGGACTTGAAGTACGGATCAGCATGGATTGTCAGTAAAGAGAAAAGGTGTATTTAGTTGTGATCAGGGTATTTTTCTTTGTTTTGGTTGCTTGTTTAAACTTCTCTGTGTGAACCTATGCCTTCCCTCCCCCATTCACAATCTAAGAGCATACCCAGAGATGGTCTCTGTGTTTTAATTTGATTTACTCAGTTGCTCTGTAACACCTAGCAACTAAGTTTGCTTTATCAAGTATATCTTTTTTGTTTTGTTAATAAAATCACTTTTTTTAAGGTGATGATTTGAGTCTTGTGTCCTAGAAAGAAACAGGAAGTCTATCTGTGTGTGTGTATACATGCCTCAGACTAAGAGGTGAGCTACCAGAGCCTGAAGTTTATTTTCTCTTTGATTTTTCAAGCTCTTTTGTGGTAAAAGAGTGTGGGATATCTCTGGGAAAGGAATTCAGGTGTTTTTCCTTCTTCTTTTTTTAAGGGTTTAAATCACTTGATGGTGGCATCTTTTGTTTCTCAAAGCCAGTGCATCTGTGACTCTGGGAAGTTTTTGTAAACAGAGCCTATAGAGGCAAGGTATTTAAGGTCTCCTGTGGGGCCCCATCTTCTGCAGTAGGAGTGCTAGAGTGAGGAACAGTTCTGACAGATATTAAGGATTAAACAGAATGCAAACCAAAGAAAAAGCAGGTCTAAGGAGTTTACCTGCAGTTAGACTCTAGTAGTGGGGTGAAATCTCTGATTTCTACAGGACTTCTTCATATTTTTATCAAAGCTATTTTAGCCTTAGCCAAAGCCCAAAGAAGTCAGTGGACAGACTCTCACTTCTATCAATGGACTTTGGTCCAGGACTTGTGTGATGAACTATATTTGTCTATGCAGAGGACAGTAACTAAGAAACTCTGACTAGAGTATCTCATTTCAGAAATGGGGAACTGCAAACTACTTTAGAAAAATGGCCTGCCTTTCAATACTACAGATGGACACTCACACGAGTGTGCAGCCTTATTGGTTTCCCATGGGGATCTAGTTACAAGATTTGGGGCCAATCTGAAACAAAACAGTACAAATGAATGTTAGTCACAATATGAATGAACGGAAACCAGAGTAACAGGAACAAGGTCATGTTCTTACATGCACTTGCTATGTGCACAACTTAATGATGTTGAATCATTTTTATAACTGAATTTAAATAAATATCAGCCTTCCCATTTTCTGTTGGTTTTCTGTTGACATGAAGGCACCCATTTCTGAATATTAACATAGAAGTTATTAGTCTATCAGCCAGTACTATCATCCTCTATATTATTTCCTAGTACATACAGCATGTCTATATTTTTCTATCACAGGGAAAAGTTTTCAACAGATGTCCCTAGACCGACCCAAAGTAAAAGACCTTACTCCTGTTCGGAACAATCTAGCTCCAATACCACACCACTGTGTTCAGAAAAGTAAGTAGAACATCTAAATTAATGTAGCACTCTGATGTGGATCCGTAAAGCAGTTGCATTGGGATTGGTTTTTTGTTTTTCTTTATCCTAGATGTGTTTGATATTGGTCTAGCAGCAGTTATCAGCTTTACCATATAGGAGAATTTAATTCTAGAATAGCAGAGGCTGAAAATGTTGCAGATGTGATATGATCAGCTTCCAGCAGAACTGAATGTGTCTTCCTAGATATTCCAAAGCAATATTCTACCACACAGGAAGGCAGGGATGTATATACAATGTGCTGTAGAACCTTATGATAGGTACAGTGCCACTGAAGAGTGAAGATGTGTCCTGCTTGGTGCGTAATAGGGCAATGCTTGATGTGTGAGATTAAAAACAGATACACCATGGCTCTACTATAGAGACTATGAAGAAACTCCATCATCTCCCATAATATGTGCTCGTATTTATATGTCCTTGTCTGTGACCACAGCTCGAAAGAGAATTAGATCGGAAACATTGTGTGCCTACTAAAAACTAAATAGTTTTCTTGAGAGAGAGAAGGTGGTTTGTGCTTATCTGTTTATTCAGTATTATGGTCTGATGCTTGGACTTGCTCTTAAGCAAGAGCATATAACTTCATATCCTCATATTCAATCAAATGTACTGTATTATATGTTGCTACTACAACAGAATTTTCACAGCATTAGTTTCTTTCTACAGTAAACTAGGTGTCTAGGTTTTGACAGTGTGTGCATTACTATAGTGTCCGAGCTGCTTTGTCATTATTTCATCATAGAAATCTACATATGTGTATAGTTGATGGGCCTAAGCCTCACAATCCAATTTACAAGTGAAAGGATGGGAGATGGAGCTTGACGCTGTCTCTTCCTTCACAGGAAACTGGTGGCAGTTGCCTTCACTCATTCCCTATGACTGTGCTTAGTTCTTGCAATAGTGGCTGTCTTGGTAACTTCTGCTGTAATCAAAGGGAGCAGGTAGATAATGAGAGCCGCTCTTGTTACAGACTGCCAGACAGTTCCTTTTCATTCCCATTGCAATCCCAACACAGCTGCTGAAAGAGCAAAGAGGACCTTCCCTGCCCCACAGATCAGCATCAACATGGGGGAGTCAGGTCAGAGGACGAAATTGACAGGTCAATTTCAGAGCTAGACATGGTCAGACACTTGGGTTTCTTATTTCACCAGTGCCAGCCCCACTCTCAGTACAGCAACATGGTCTTACATTTCTGTGCTCCATTAAGGTCCAAACCCATTCATCTATTTTGAATGAGTTGTAGGTTTGCCATTTACCAGAGCACAAATTAGCCAGTCCTATTACACATAAGCTAAGCAAAAGGTTTCTAGCCCATTAGAACCTGAGTTCTACCATTCAGGAATTTGTGTCTCTGCAGCTGAAGCTGACAACATTGCTAATAACAACAACAAAAATAAAGGAAGCAGCACTCCTTGCCCTGCTCTGCACATTAATGAGATTGTATCATTAAAGTGCAGAGTGTGCTATTATGAGCCATGGTGGTTAGAAAACAGAACATCGAATTCTACTGTTGTCTAGAAAGTAAAAGAGCAACTCATGTTCACCTCTTCTCTTTTGAAGTGAAGACATGAAGTATGTTGAAGTGACACTCCATGTGGTGAAGGAAAAATTCTTTTAGCTGCTTTCAGAATCAGAGCTTCAATTTGTCTTTCATTTTAAACTCTGATGGATTCCTGGCTTATCTCTGATTATGTTTTTAGGTATAGCTTTTGAGGGGGAGTTCATAGTCATCTGTATTTATGTAGACTTAATCATTCACACAATCAAATGGTATTTTTAGCTATAGGCAGCACATTACTGTAACAGTAAAAAAGAAACAAAGATAGAGTTGTTAAGTATTAATGTTTAGCCACAGTGTTATGTATAGGAACCATCTTTCCTAGGACAGATACAAATAATAAAAAGAAAAGCTGATTTGGAAAATTGATTTCATATTTCACTTGCTCAAGAAAACAGCAGTGAAAAAATTAAATATCATGTGTGAAATCCAGTGCTGTTGGAATTTATCTCACTCAGCTAAACTTCCTTGGAAATAAAACTTCGAATAGAAGTCCTAGATCTACTGAAATTGAATTGATTTCAATAGATCTGCATTTCCACTCTTGAAATTTTACTCCCAGAGATGTTAACCTAAATAAGAATGCTAGGATTCAAATAGAAAAAAAAAGTAATGATTTTAATTAAATTGAAATAAGTGCTAAATACATAGAATAAAAATGTGACAACAAAATAAAAGTAAAAATAATTAGAGAACTGAAACCTCTATGAATGCAAACAGAAAAGTGTTTACACCCCAAAAAAGGAAGTGAAGCAGAAAAAAAGGAAGATGTATCTGCCTTACAACAACTTTAAAAATACTTTTCAGAAAAAAGTTTATAAGTAGAGCCCTGAAGCAGAAACCTCAGAGAAGAGAAAAGTCTATGATGGGAGGAGGAACTAGGCTGAACCTCCCATGTCTGCCATGTTGTCCTGGAATCTATGCAGTTGTCAGTGCTGCTGTCCCACCCACAACACACCCTTCCTGCTCTGGTATATAGCCCCTAACCAAAGGCTTGCAAAAGAGTCCTCAGAAAACAGCCTTGTGGCTGGCTTTTACAGCTCTTTCAAGGGAGGAGGCCTCCCCTGTCAAAATATTGGGCGTTTAAGGCCCTCTTATGCTGTTCTTCTGGTGTCATAAAGGGGTTGGAATGGTGGTGAAATTCTTATCTCCTAAATATAAATATGAGTAGATCTGGTTCAGTTCTGAAATGCAAGCTATAAGTTTGCCAGACTCTAAAAAGTTATTCTTTCAGAAGACATTTGGGTACAAATTAGCAATGAATTCTAGAGGAATATGACCTAGGAATCAATTTACAGTATTCCGGCTGGCAAAGTTCACACCCAAAACATACAACTGTCAAAATATTTTGTCAATGTCTTGGGCGGCATCACATGAAAACTGGTGTCTCGCAATTCAGGAATATCATTGTGTGTGTATGTATGTGCATGTCATATATAGAGAGTTATATACATATGCTGGAAATAAGTTAAAGTATCTTGTGGAGACAGCTGATAAAACAACCCTACCTTAGACAAAGAAATGAGCATTTACCTATCTGAATGGACCACAGGCCAATGAAAAAAACCGGACGGCTTGGTTACAAAGTGCTCAAGCCAATCACAAGAGATAGCTGCCTGAAAGAAGAGGAAAGGTGCCTATGAAACAAAGAACAAGCAAGAGGGGAGAGGAAGTTTATCTGGGCTTACCTCTTCAAACAATTCAGCTCAAAGGTTTTCTGGACTATAAAAAGCAAAAAAGAGGAATTCTTTGTTTATTTATCACTTACGGGACAAAAGGAGCCAACACTCTTGGAATCTGTGAAAGATGGATCTCCCACCCATGTAGATTGAGGGTACAAAACTGATTGTAGATGAGAAATTGCCTGACACCAGGATTGTAATTGAGTTTTAGACTCTAGAAAGAGTGTTTTATTTGTAACTATTTTGTATTTCTATTATCTCTGCTTCATATCACTTACATATGTTATTCTTGTTTTATTAATTTATCTCAGTGCTGTTATAGTAAAGTGAGGTGCTTCCTCAACTGAGACCACAGGCTGGAGTGTATTCAGTCTCTTTAGAGACAGCAGATTTGATAATTTCTGTGACTGTCCAGTTGGAAGGGATGAATATTCCAAAGAATGATCTTCTGGAAGTTCAGGAACTAGGGTTTATTACTGAATGTTACCTGCAAGGCAAGGTGTTATGGGGTGTACTTAGCCCATAACAGAAGTAAAGGTTATAAGGAGTAACTCTTACAGCACATACTCCATCTGGAGTTGGCATTTAAATAGGAGCCAGAGAGATCAGAAGATGCCTGACAGGACAGGGAGAGAGATCTACTCTGAAAGATCCTGAAGGATGCTAAAATAATCTTTTCTTGGGAGAAAGACCCTGCCTGCTGAGCCCATAGGGGTGTAAGTTTTAATTATTCTCCCATTCCTTTGCTACTGTGACAAACTGTACGACTGTGGGGTGAGTGGTAGGAAGCGGCCCAGGGAAGCACATCCAGGTGCCAGACATTGTTGCTTCTTACAGGACCCAGGATATGTCTACACTGCACAGGTTTTTTTAGAAAAACTTCACTTACGTCCACACTGCAATTGCATTCTTTCAAAAAAAAAATCGAAAGAACAGACTTTTTCCGATATTGGTAAATCTCTTTCTACGAGGAAGAAGCCTTTTTCCGAAAGAGCTCTTTTGGGAAAAGGCATGTGGACGGAGAAGAGGAAGTTCTTTCAAAAGAAGAAGAAAGCTGAAAAAGCACAGGTGCCCTGATGGCCACTCCATCCATAGTAATTACAGCTTAAATGCGAGATAGCGTCCATTCAGTCTGGACGCTATCTTTCGAAAAAGCAGATCGCTTGTTCGATGCACTTTGGCTGTGTGGATGCTCGCTTTCGAAAGAAGATTTTTTTGGAAGCTCTCTTCTGGAAAAGCTTCTTTCAAAAGAAGCCTACAGTCTAGACATAGCCCCAGTGGAGTGGGAGGGCTCAAGCTCCCACACCAACCACCTTGTTTTGGAAGACCCAGAGAGGGTAAAGACTTTGTAAACTGCCTGGCTGGCACCATAGGGGACACCAAATGGACTGAAGAAGCTTTCCCCACCACCCTTTCGGGAGCGTGTGTGGCACAATATCATCCTTGAAATTCTGTTACCCCACAAAGGGATACAGTTGATTGGTGACCTGACCAGAGGGTCAGGCAAACATCTACCAAAATGCAGACTGACACAGGCCATGACAGTAGGTAGTGGAAGATTTTGAAGGCAAAGGCAAGGTAAGACTTAATAGCCTAACGACTTGGTGACACCACCAGTGAGCACCACCCATCACAAGTTGGTGGAGCATGTGGGAATTCATCCCAGCTCAGCCGTAAAGCCTTGAAAGAAAAAAACTGGATATAGATGAACTGTTCAAGAAGATGGACAGCCAGCAACAACAGCTAGCTCAACAGCAGCAGCAATAGAACCAGATGTTTCAACAAATGGCCACTCAGCAATAGCAATAATCAGAACAATGGCAGACCTGATGGCACAACAATTAGAGCAACAACAACACTTTGTCCAGCAGGTGGCAAGCATTTCACAATCAGTAAGGGCAAGTGCAGATTGTGTGGCCAGGACCCCAAGCCCCACTCCAACCCCAAACCTTCTGGTAAAACTCATGCAGATAGTGTCTGGGGACAACTCTGACACTCACTTTTAAGAAGATTGGCACAGCAGCTCAATGGCCATCTGAACAGTTTTTCTGGCAGTGTATCTCATCAAGCAAACTCAAGTGGCATGGCAGATCCTAAATGCTGTGCGAGGGTCAAGGCAGCCATCTGAGACATCTTTGGTATCATGGCTGAGACCCATTAACAGCACTTTCACCAGGAAAGATTTCCACTCAAGCAGTGGCTCAGAGCCTTAAAGAACCTTATTGGCTCTGGCTCCAACTGAGCAGGTCACAAAGATTCTCCCAGCTTGCAGACAGGGGAAAGTGTTGTGACACAGACCTGAGACATTGGCTAATGCAGTAAGGCTGTCAGAAAATTACATGCTGATCACATGCCTGGCCACAGGAACTCTGAAGCCTCAAGAGCAGTGTTTCTTAAACTGTGTTCCGTGGCACACCAGTGTGCCGCGAGGCAGTCAGAGATGTTCCGCAGAGAACAACAGAGTTAAAAAATGGCCAACGTTAAAGGGGCAGGCAGGTTTTTTTGGCTCAATAACTTCCCCCTGAACTCCCCCCTTTTTTTCCTCAACAAAAAATCCATGATGTTTCTCCTTAAAAAAAATTGTTTGGTGTTCCTCGGTCTTAAAAAGTTTAAGAAACACTGCTCAAGAGGCTTGTTACCAAGGATCACAGACTGCAGATCTCTGAGCCTAGTGAGGGAGGATGGATGATCCACAGCTAAAAGTGACCTGACTAGAGAGTCAGGTGGATGCCCATCAGAAGGCAGACCACCACTGGACATTACAGTAACCAGTGGGAGATACTGAATGTGGAGCAAATCAAGACCTAGCACCCTAACCACTAGGGAACACTTCTAGTGAGCACCATATATCACATAAGATTAAGTAGCGTTCAGTCACTGTAGCTGGCCGCATGCCACCAATGTCTAGCTTCCGACACACAGGCTACGTCTACACTGGCCCCTCTTCCGGAAGGGGCATGTAAATTTCACGAGTCGTCGTAGGGAAATCCACGGGGGATTTAAATATCCCCCGCGGCATTTAAATAAAAATGTCCGCCGCTTTTTTCCGGCTTTTAAAAAAGCCGGAAAAGAGCGTCTAGACTGGCCCCGATCCTCCGGAAAAAGTGCCCTACTTCAAAGGTCTTATTCCTACTTCAAAGTAGGAATAAGAGCCTCCGGAAAAGGGCACTTTTTCCGGAGGATCGGGGCCAGTCTAGATGCTCTTTTCCGGCTTTTTTAAAAGCCGGAAAAAAGCGGCGGACATTTTTATTTAAATGCCACGGGGGATATTTAAATCCCCCGCGGATTTCCCTACGACGACTCGTGAAATTTACATGCCCCTTGCGGAAGAGGGGCCAGTGTAGACGTAGCCACAAAGTTTAAACTCCAGTAAAGCTCTCACTTGCAGAGGTAGGTTGGGTAGTTATTCCAAATATTCTGTGGCACTAACAAGCCAGCCTGCTCAAAACACTATGGGATTGAGAACACTCCAACACAGCTAAACACAGTTTTTTTTTATTTAACAAGAACATTGAGGCAATATAAATATTGACTACTGTGGATTAATTTTTTTTAAATCATGCCCTTCAGAAATGTATACTTATCCTTAAGTGAAGGCTCCTCTGTAGGTTGGAAGAGAACTAGAGAGAAAATAAATCCCTTTTCCCTATTGCAAACATTCCAGATTTTAACCCAAATTACGAATTGGAAAATCTGGAGAACGAAAAAGCACAAGAGTTGGCCAGCAATTCAGCAAAAAAGCATTTCTAATTTAATTAGAATCAAAACTAGCTTTAACAGGTTCACTTTCCCAGGGAACCAATACTTTCAAGTTGGGCCCCCACATAAGCCCCACATGAATCCTCTCTGCCTCACCCCCTCTGCTCTCTCTGACTCTCTCTCTTCCCCATCCTATGGTATCAGGTGGGAGGAGGCTCTCTCCTCTTCCTGGTGCATCGGAACTGCAGCAAAAGGAGCATAATGTGGGGCCACCTTGGCAGCCTCAGGATGGTAGCAGTCAGCTTCTCTGGCACAGTGGTTCTACCGCCATCCATTCCATGCAGCTGTTACAAATTTGCCATAGCGCCCCTGACTTCAGTGAAGATACTCAACTGACACCAGTTAAAGATGTGTCCTGTTGATTCTAACAAAAATTGCTCCAAATTCTCTTTATTCAATTAATATAGATTTGGATGTATTCTATTGTTTTAGTGGCATTACTCTAGATTAACATCAGTTTAAGAGAGAATTTTCCTCCATGTTGACTTGTAGAATTTCTTAAATTTGCGCAGAGGAAATCCCCATCAGATGGATTATGAGGTAGGAGAAAAGAACTGAAGAAGTGTCAAAAGAAGGGATGAAGTCAGTAAGGTTCAGATTCAAAGAAGTTTTTGATATGTATCCATGTATTTCAGTGGTTATAAAAAGTGAAGCTATTCGGGTTCACAGATCACTGAAAACTTCTTGTAAATCATCTGTCATTGGCATTGTTGGCTTGGTTATCCCACACAAAAAGTATTTCCACACATGGTTAGTTCTTCCAGGATGTGTTTTAAATTACATTAGTAATTTTTGCTCATTTTCAGTATTGTTTCTAAATTTCACATGGTCAGTTTAAGTATATATATAACACAAGATAAATATAGAAGAACAAGAAACTGACAAGCTAGCAAATTATAGAATTTGTTTCTGATT